TAAGTTGTGGAATAAAATTGAGGCACGGGTGAGGCACACTATAATTAAAAGATAAGATACGTGCAGTAATATGGCATGCAGTAGTAAAGTGCATTACTGCTTATCTCATAGGTGCAGAAGAAGTTTTGATCCCTTATGGTGAACACACATTGACCTTAATGCCAGCTACAAACAAGAGTCACTGCAATATTCTGAAGTAGGGTTACAACACACTGACCTCACCTTACTTTCTGCTTTTATAACAACATTTTAAAAAGGACATTTCAGTGCCTCCTGTGGCTTCTCCCTCACTAAAATCTGATCAGAGCTTTTTGCTGTTGTCTGTCTTCTTTCTGTCTTTATTGTGTATTTGCTGGTTTTTCACAACCTTTTCTCCTCACTTGTTCTTGCAGCTATTTCTATAATGCTGCTATTTTTCACCATTCGCTTCCTTCTTTCTCTTTCACCCTTTTCTCCAAACCTTCCCCCTGTATCTCTGTCGCCTTCTTTTCCAGCCACTGTTCCTTTTCCCTAACCTCCGTACAGTTCACTCGCCTCCTCTTTCTCTGTGCAGTGATGACAGGGATGCAGGCAGAAGCAGAAGAGAGTGCTGAGCTAAACAGAGGCGCACAACTAGGGCAGCACAACTGCCTCCAGGGGTGTGTGTGTGTGTGTGTGTAAGTTTTCTCGTGGACTAACACAAAAAATGGGAACGACGGAGCGACAGGGACGGACGTTCAGAGCAAGGTGGCGAGGCAGCAGTACAATTATAGCTACTGTACAAAAAACCCTCTTTATTTAATAAAATTCTTTGTGAAACAGTATTGAAAAAACTGAAAATCAACAAAAAAGGAGACTAACAGTTGTGAATGTTTACAGCAGTCCTTTCAGAAAATTATGTTAGATCTGGAGGATGGTTTGAAATTATTGCTGGATGTTTGTAGGGCTGATATCCCAATGCCGTGACACGGTGCAGACATTACAGTGCACATTAATCTGTCAATTACTGGACTTCATGTAGTTAACATAGGGGCTTTTTAATGTTGACTTATTATTAGACATTATTCAGGCTTCTGTCATGCTCCTATTAGTTTTTCATGAGAGCTTGGAAGTGCTTGATCTTTAATGATAGTCTTGCTGCTAGTACACTGTACTGTAATGTACTTTCATCTACTCTACTGATAACCAACCATTGTTTTGGTGTGGCCTGTTTTGGCATAATAATGGATTATATGAAACTGAATCCTACGAATGCCAAAATGGGACCAGCAAAACATGTATTTGTTATATAGATGTACAGTAATGTGCAAAAATCCTGGGCCAGGATCTATATTCGTGCTGGCTCGTTGGTCTAGGGGTATGATCCTCGCTTCGGGTGTGAGAGGTCCCGGGTTCAAATCCCGGACGAGCCCTGAATGTTTCAAAAAATATTTCATGTTTGCCCCCCCAAAAATATAAAAAAATGAGTGGTAGCTCAAAACTATTGCATGTTTATACATATTTTCCCAATAAAAACAGGACCTATCCATACATTTAGAAACACACTAACGTATTTCAAAAAACAGTTGAATATAAACTTGATCTCCTGACTGACATACTGTCACTAGATGTCTACAAGTTGTTTTGTATATTTACTCCAAAACGCTGTTTAACGATCACTTTCAATCTGTATTGTCATCTTTAAATAAAGTGACAAGTCACACATGGTCCCCTTTGTGTAAGCGTGGGAATTCAGCCCTGCCTCCTCTATAGAGAGCACAGGAGATGAGAGAAAAACAAGGAGGTCAAAATCTCCACTCACAGCAGGGTTTCGAGGGATGTCTCTGGTCGGCAGCTGTGCTCCGCGTTATCAGATGCAATAATCGGCCTTTATTGGAACAATAACAGTAATTTAATTTTCAATCTTATCAGCCTGTAATATACTGGGCACCAATATATCATACTTATCTAATTAATAGTACATATCCTGTTACAGTACTGGTCTGATAAGATGTACACACTAAATAGAAACACTGAGGGACATCGTGATAACATCGTGATAACTGAGTTACAATCAGGGTTTTCTGTGTAACTTTTATTAATAACAACTAGGAGCCTTCAAAGTGCTTAAGAAAAGGCAAACTTAAGACCCGTATATCATTATTGAAACAATGTTGCCTTGCTTCCAATATCAGCAGTTAGCTGAATTAAAATAAGTTGTAAGATCAATTTATAATTTGTGTTTTCATGCAAATCAGATTTCAAAGAGAAAAAAATATCAGTGTTACTTTTTGATCATGTGAAAGAGTCAGAAAAAAAGCCTTTAAAGGCTGGGTAGAGACCGACAAGACGGAGAGTAGTATATTTGTACTGATTTCACAGTCTCCATGGAGATACTTGTTAGTATGTCAGACGTGTAGGCCCTCCCACTTGGCCAGGCTCAACCTCAGGAAACAGCAGCTCACAATGACATTTGTTCAGGTTGGCATATGTTTTTTCTCTGCGTGTATTTGAGCGCGTGCATCAGCGTGTACGAGCGGTTATGCTCACATGACTGTTTTTCCAGTGCGATGAACTCTGTCAACCAGTAGTTTTCATCTGAACTGAATCACAACAAGATTCAGATCCTATGAGTTGCAGCCTGCATATGTGCAAATATGTTTGCATGCATTTTTGTATGTATGACTGTCGGCATTTCTGAGAAACAGACAGTCACGGGCCGCGTGAGTGTGTCCCTCTTGGATGTATGTGTGGGGAAATGCCGTGTTTGTGTGTAGATGTAGACTGTATGTATTATGCAGACCTAGGAGAGCCTTGTGCTATAAATAAAACAGGGCTGCAGTGTGCTCACTGGCGGAATAATCTATCTGACACTATGGAGAAAGAGGGAGAGCGAGAAGGAATGGAGCAGACAGAGACGAGTCCAGAGAGAGAGGAACGAAAGACGAGTGAAGAGAGAATGAAGAAGAGGAACTGAAGAAAAAGGAAGGAGCAGGGTTACGGACTGAGCAGGAGAGAGAAAAATTAAAAGGGGCTAATCCACAGGGCCTCTATCACTTAGTTAGCACCATGACACAACTCAGAGTCATGTTCAAAAGGGCGGTAATGCCTTTCTTCACTATCTCCTTGGGTAATCTGCCATCCATGCTCGCCTCAGTCTCTCCCTTCTACACTATGTCTGCAAAGAGCAAAAGGTGGTTTGTTTTGTTTATGTTCCTCACACCTGTGGTAAGGACATTTAGCAGGTCCTGCACACATTTGTCATTGGGTGTAAGTGCTTGTGAGCAAAATGTCAGAAGCTATTAAAACCTCACTGAAATCTCTCTGATGCTGTGCAGATATTGTTGGCAGTAGAGCTGCCGGTTATGGATTGGGTTGCTTTTTTTTTGTTACGGTTTACCCAAATTGACCACATCTTTTGACCTTTTCGACATATGCCAAACCAGTATTAGCCTTCTTTGGCTGAAATATTTGTTGTCCATGGATCTACTAACATTGTAACTGTTGCTAATGCTAATAAACTTTATCCAGTTCTTACAGACCCTTTCCCAAGAAGTCTGCGTGCATTTATACATTATAAAACATTTGATCTTGCCTTTCAAAATCTTATTTAAAACGTTAGCTAAATCATAGTAATCTGCTGTTGCTGTAATTCTAATCTGTGTTGTAGTTACAGCATTGTGTATATGTACACTTGGATGCAGACTGCAATTTTTTGACTCATTATGTTATTATTTGTATGATTGCATATAATTTGTTTATTGAAAACTAATATCGAGCACATCCAACAAACAGCCACCGAATAAACAGCTGTTGCCGCTAGTTGACCTTGAGCTGTATCTAGACGACTATAATGGGGCTTGATATTGGATAATAGCTGGATATTAAAAACATCAGTAGGTCTTTTATTAGTCATAATCCAAACGGGTCACTTTTGTTTCATTAGTACAAGTACTGTAGATCATTATTTGTCTGCTACTAGTATTAATTGAACAAGGTTATGATAACAAGAATCTGTTGTTTTAAAGCTACAAAGCTGATGTCAAAACCACAGTCTGCCTGATTTCTTTAAGTAAAGAAAAAGCAAATAGACATTTGCCTCTTTAACTCTTCTCCCTGCCAGGTGATGGAGTTGAAGGGTCAGATGATCCATGTGCCCGAGTCGTGCTCCGTGATGTTTCTGGGCTCTCCCCGTGTGGATAAGTTGGAGGAGCTGATGGGCAGAGGTCTCCACCTGTCAGATATCCCCATCCAAGATGCCACACGGGATGTTATCCTGGTTGGGGAACAGGCCAAGGCTCAGGATGGCCTGAAGAAGAGAATGGACAAACTCAAGGTAAATCGGTTGACAGTGTAGGCTCTGGCAAAGTAACTAATTTACCCATTTAACTAATGGGAAGGCTTTCCACGAGGTTTATGAGTGTGTTTATGGAAAGTTTTGTGTTTTTGTGCTTCATCCAGAAGCACATTTATAGGTCAGATTAAGGACAGACCAGCTGTTTGGGCTGGGGGGGATTTAGCACTAGCTAGCAACATATATATGGTCTTAAGCTATAGTCATTCCACTCATGTGCTGTTTGTTACGTTGCAATCTTTTCTTGTGATGCTGAGTATGAACTCAATGTTGAGAGTTACGGCTCACTGCTTATCGAAGTCTTAACACAGTGAATGTCTACAGCAAGCTACTCTTCTCTCTTTTTCCTCTACTACCTACTGACTGCTTCACTTTATGTGAGGCTCACCTTGTTCTTTGCTGCTGTTCAGTTTGTCAGAGACCAAGTCATGGCGCCTAAACTGGTGAAACTACACAAAAATATTCAGTATGTTTAGTATGTTTATTTGAGCTTTTCCACAATGCGAACAACTGAAGTGAACAAATTAAATCCAGTGCCTCAGCTGTACCGGCTACTTAAAGCTCCATATTGACTGTATTAATGCATACTGCCTGGAAAAAATGTGGCTCCTGGGACTTCCTCTCATAATTTGCTTTCAAAGTACCCTTGAGCAAGTCACTGAGTCTTGACCCAATCCTGTGCGTCTGTTCATTGCATCACTCTCACTGCAACTACACCCCCAGGGTAGTGTTATAAATAGCTATGTCTGAGTCAACTTGCCTGCTTGAACAATGGTATAGCACTAAGAAGCTTACCCAGAGAAGCAAATAAACATATACAGACACACACAATCCAGAAAAAACAATCACACATAAATACATTTGCATCCACCAGCATTTTTAAAAAAATTGATGCAGTACTCCCACATCTCAGGATCTCTGTCATCAGTATCCTCTTCAAAGCAAAGCGCACAACCTCTCTCTCTTCTCTTCCAGGCCACATTAGAGCGGACTCATCAGGCACTGGAAGAGGAAAAGAGGAGAACCGTGGACCTGCTTTATTCCATATTTCCGGGCGATGTGGCGCAGAAGCTGTGGCAGGGGCAGCCGGTGCCCGCTCGCAAGTTTGATGACGTCACGATGCTCTTCTCAGACATTGTGGGGTTTACTGCCGTGTGCGCTCAGTGTACGCCTATGCAGGTCATCTCCATGCTGAATGAACTTTACACACGCTTCGACTACCAGTGTGGCATTCTGGATGTTTATAAGGTCAGTAGACCGAAAGATATCCGCCTCCTTCATAGGATGTAGTAATAATAAAAGAAAAAACTGTGAAATATTATTTAGGCAGGAGCAGTTTGATTTGGTTGCAAATGTAATATCTTTACCGGTTAATGTGTATATTTGTGTAAAACGAGTTCATTAAGATTGTTTTCCCGAATTTAAACCTTCCCAGAAAGTTAGAGCCCTCATTTCTTGGAATCTTTGGAGTGTTACCACACGAGCCAGCCTTTTCAGGGTGTGTCACTGTGTTTGTGCATGTGCGTGTGCGTGCACTGTGTGTGTACGTGCCCTCATGTGTGGGTGCACTTGTGTTGTGGAAAAAGTAACTGATTAATGGCCAGTCTGTGAGAGCTTAACAAAGATGTGTCAATATTGTCCATCTGACAGTGTGGCTTTATGCCTAGTTACTGTATCACTGTAGTCTGCTGTCTTTTCCTCTTTTTTCATCTTTACTTTCTGTTACCACGTCCTCTTTTTTTCCAATCTTTTTACCCATTTTAAATTTTTCCACCTTCGCTCCTCTCCAACATCGCCATCGTCAGTCATCTTTCATCTCTACCTTGGTACCTCAGTGAGCGTGACGGCAGCGTACAATTTCCCATAAAAATGCGCTGTTACTGTGTCCTCTCTCAGAAGTGTCACACACATATCAGATACACGGAGAAGTGAGATGCAGAGGGTGAAGGCAGGGAAGTTGACTGTATGTAACGAGGTATATGTGTATAGCAGGGGAAGAGTTAAGGTGTCAGCTTGTGTGTGTCAAAGAGAAAGCAGAAACAGGAGGACATGGTGAGGAGACTGAATCACCCATATGTCGCCATTGTCATGGTTACTGTCGAAATGATTTAGCCGGTGGCAGGCCTTAATGAGAGCAGTTTGTCTCCAAGCCTCTCTACTCCCCTTCCCCAACCACCACCACACACACACAAACACACACTTTTATCCTTCTGTGCCATTTTTTAAAAGTCTATGTCCATGACACCTAGTTTGTGTTGTCATGTGGAGACATCCATGAAAGTGACACTCTGTTTGCTTTATTGACACGTGCGTTCTTAAACTGTTTACACTTGCTGCTACTGCAGACTAGGAAATACTTGGCTTTATGGCTTAAATCTTCTTCTGTTTATGCAGCAGTTGTCATAGTTTGGATATTACACAGAATCAGTATACTTGAGAAGAGGTGAAACCTCCCTTAAGGGTAAAATCCTCATTAATCAATTGGGGTTTGGAAAAACTTAGGATAGGAACTAATAATGAGCACAGAAAATGTGACGTGTTTGGTATTCATATACATCACACAGTTTCTGACGATTTGTTAGCTACACCCTGATGTGAATCTCCTGTTCCACCACATCACAGAAACAACCGATTGAGATCTGATGGAGGCCATTTGAATACAGTGAATTCATTGTTGTGCTCAAGAAACTGGTTTAAAATGATTTGAGCTTTGTGACATGGCACCAGTATGATAATGTGAAGATGGGGTACACTGCAGTCATAAAGGGATAGACATGGTGAGCAAATTACTCTGGTAGGCTGTGTTGGTTAATTGGAGATAAATGATCTGAATTTCAGGAGCAGGACCACACCTCCAAACACGCCCCTTCTGGGTCTTATCTATATATGACCCCCCCAGTTCTTCATGTCCCATCCTCCCTCCCCTTTTTCAACTCTTCCACTTCTTCATTTCTCATTAGTACATGGGGATCTGCCAGGCCCATCTAGGCCTTTCCCATACCACAGCTCAATTCTAGATTAAGCCATTCATCTTTATCTACTAAAAAATGCTGCCAAACCTAAAATCAGGACGTGGGCCCAGCTAGTGAAACGGTACTCAGTTGGTACTAAGAGGCACTATTGCACCACCACTGGCATCCTGAACTGTTGAGAGAAGGCAGGATGGGTTCATGCTTTCATGATGACCCTGTTATCCAAATGTTGCAGCAGAAATGGAGACTCATCAGACCAGGCAACTTTTTCCAATCTTCTACTGTCCAATTTTCAGTGAGTGAGCCCAATTGAACTGTAGCGTCAGTTTCCTGTTCTTAGTTGACAGGAATGGCACCTGGTGTGGTCTTCTGCTGCTGTAGCCCATTAGTTTCAAGGTTTAATGTGCTATATGTTCACAGATGCTCTTCTGCAGACCTTGGTTGTAACAAGTGGTCACTTGAGTTACTGTTGCCCTCCTATCAGCTTGAAGCAGTCTGAACATTCTCCTCTTACCTCTGACATCAACAAGACTTTTTCACCCAGAAAAATGCTGCTAACTGCCTTTTCTCTTTTTCAAACCATTCTCTGTAAATCTGAGAGATGGAGATGGTTGTGTACGAGGCTATCAGCAGTCTTTGAAACACTTAACGCTTTCTTTCATCATCATCTTTCTTCCTCACTCTGATGCTCAGTTTTAACTTCAGCAGGTTGTTGTAATCGTGTCTACATGCCTAAATGCACTGATTTGCTCATGATTTGAACTGGTGTACATAACAAAGTGGCCAGTGAGTGGATTTAGGTTGATCCAAGCATCTCTGCCTCCCAACCCATTAACAGGGAAGCATAACAATGGTTAATATATAGGACAATCATCATGTTCACTTACCAGCAATTCCCCATAGTAAAAACAATTATTTTTTTCCACTTGAATGTAAGCTTTAGGTTGATCCTGGTTAAGTACAAAAAGTTTTAAAACATTCATGGTTTCCAGGAAACAGATAAAAATAAACCCACAATTGGTTGGTTTTATACAATACTGATAATTTGATCATAATTAAAAACTTTTAAACTTTTTTTTGTCTAAGGCAAGAGAGAGATGCAAGAGAGAAAATAGTTTATATATTTTATCAGGAATGAGAGCAAGGAGAGGTCTCTGCAGAGAAGTAGTGAGCATTCCTCAAATGTTTGGGGCAGAGATGGGCAAACACAAGTCACTTCAGCCAACCATGTCCAACAGCTGAGGAACACCCACTCGGGTTCTGCAAAGGCTTCTTACTCATTGACGTCCTTCAGCTTTAGCTTAACATGGTTACATGTACTCACAGCCACTTTTCATTTTGCAGATTGAGACAATAGGTGATGCCTACTGTGTGGCAGGAGGGCTTCACAAGAAGGTTGATAGTCATGCAAAGCCGATTGCACACATGGCTCTGAAGATGATGGAGCTTTCAGAGGAAGTGTTGACGCCTGATGGTAAACCTATCAAGGTGAGTTTTCATTCATTTTCCATCTTGCGTCCCTTATAATAATTTCAACTTGCTAAAGGGGCTGAAAGTGTCTGTTTATTCTCTCCTATTCTGCATCCCTAACGTTTTTTTTCCTGCTATTTATCTATTTTTGTATAGAAAGCTGTCTCCTGAATAAGTTATATACAGTTTAATCTTGTGCTACTGTTGATCCTGTACCTAGGTTTACATGTCAAATTTCATGTGGGTGTGTGTAATTGTAAAGCAAATCATACTAAAAGGCAAATTCTGCTGAATTGGTTGTTATCAAAATAACTTAAGCTGATCCGAAGTCCTTCTGTAAGGTTCTGGTTACAATTTGGTGCCGAATGATGCTGTTTATCTCTTCACTTCCCAGATACTGACATTCCTAACATTGTGGACTGATCAAACCAAGTGTGAGCAGTCAGTTACTTGCTGATCAGAATCCCAAATATCTCACCGTATCCTCTCCGGTTATCAATCGTCATTCCATGGCAGTTTAAACAATGCATTCAGTCATAACAGTAGCTACATGACTGCATACAACAAAGTGCAAGTGTTTGCTTTCACATAAGCTTCATTAGTCTAATATTTCCCTTTTAACAGTTTTCTCTGATTCATCCACTTCCAACAAGATGAAACCTTAGTTTGAGTGCACCATTCACTGAGCTGCCTCTGCACTACGATAATGCTTCCTTAACAAGTTTTGTTTGCAGTCATTTCTCTTTTATGTGTCCTGTGGTTATAATTATAAATAAGACTTTGTGAGACTTCCTAACAGTGCCAGAAACAGAAAGAAAAAATCTGAAAAGATGAATACAGTTTTTGAAGACGTTAGTGACATTTATTAATTGCCAAGAGATTTTCTTGGCTTATTACCACCCTTAAGCCAAGCACTGAATACTTTATTTAGAAGTGCCGTGAATTAGCCAGCTATTGTGAAGCTTTGGACTGCATGCTTAATTTGAAAATTTCATCAGCCAGTTAGCGCTATTAACACATTGGTTAAAGATGCTTTAAAGATCCTTTCTTGAACAAGAAGCATATTTATATGCTTTTCCTTTTTCTTGATTCTTCCCTTGTTACTTTTTCTATCTCTCAATTTTTCCATGTTTTCTAATCAATAAATAATATATGTTAAGATGGTTTACCCAAGCCAACAACATTTTTAAGACACAGCCTAAGTGTTGCTTAGCTGACATTGGTGCAGTTAATACTCTTTTTTTTTATCTTTCTTTTTACACCAGGTCCAACACATAAGTTTGTTGTATTTTATGGACATTTTTATGTCCTATTGTTGTTCTATTGTTGTGTGAAAGGAACACTTAATACAGTTATTTTGCTAGAAAAATATACTACAGGATATGGACAAAAGTATCTAATCTCTTAATCTTGGAATTCCGATGTTTACAGTCAGTTCAATTCAAATTATTTTATATAGCACTAAATCACAACAACAGTTGCCTCAGGGCGGGTTTACAATATAGGTGACAACCCTACAATAATAAAGAAAAAACAGAGAAAATCCCAACAATCATATGACCCCCCTATCAGCAAGAGCTTTGGCGACAGCGGGAAGGAAGAACTCCCTTTTAACAGGAAGTAACCTCCGGCAGAACCAGGCTCATTTGCCAAGATCGGACAAAGACATGCTGTGGATTAGAGATTAATAGACAGAGATTAATAATAATGAATGATTAAATGCAGAGAGATGTATAAACAGAAAAAGGTGAGTGAAAAAAGTTAAGTGAAGAAGAAAATGGCATCATGGGAAGCCCTCAGCAGCCTGGACCTATTGCAACATAACTAAGGGAGGGAGGATTACCTTAACTATAAAGTTTGTCTTTTTTTGCCAGTCCCATTTTTACAGGTGTATAAAATCCAGCCTGTAGCCACGCTGTCCACCTTCACAAACATTTCTGAAATTATGGGTTGTTCTAAAGAGCTCACTAAATTTGAGCCTAGTACTGTAACAGGATGCCACCACTGCAACAAGTCAGTTTGTGGAATTTCTCCTCTCTTAGATATTTCATGATCAACGGTAAGTGGTATTATTGCAAAGTGGAAGTGTTCAAGAACCACAGTAGCAGTAAAGTTAGAGAGTAGAGTTGACAAGTGCTGAGGCGTGTAGTGCGGAAAAGTTGGCAACACTCGGGCATTAACATCAGCGTTAAAAACTGTGCGCCTTGTGCTTCATGGCCTGGATTTCTATGGCTGAGAAGCTCCTGTAGGTGTAATGTGTCCATATAGTGTCACATTTAACAGCTGCACTTGAAATAGTAACAGTGGTACTGTCCACATCATACTGGTGTTGTGAGTTTTGACACATCATCGCAAAATTATCACTTATCGGCTCATTTTCATAAGTACAAAAATGAAAGCTAGTTTGTGGAACTGCATTTAACAGTGGTCTCACTGTACTTTTAAAAATGCTTTAAATTGTGTGTGGCTTCAAAGAGAGAGGAGAAGGAAAGCTGCGGGAAAAATGATGAGTACAGTATTTTAAGTAGGAAGGGAAGCAAAGAGTCACGAAGGAGTGAACCGAGTTTCAACCTCTCATGTTAATTTAGACGAATAAAAAGGAAAGGGGAATGATTTATTTATGACTATCCTTAGTCCAGTCACTGTGAAGGTCACCCAGCACACTTACGATGCCAAAGTAGCTTTGCAGGCTTTGCTGTATTAAATCGTATTACAGGCTGAGGCTTTGATATTCAGTGTTTTTCTTATTGTGAATAACCAAAACATTTAGAAAGAGATACTGAGTAATGGGTACTTCTGGTTTAGTATAATTTTTACAAAATATGAGATTAATTAGCTCTTTTTTAAAAGACAAAAATGAATATTTGTGACTTTAACAAATTGAGGAACAATAAACATCAAGACCCACAAACCAGGCATAAGTGTAAGAGAGACTAAGATGGACAAATGTTAAATAACAGAGATAACTGCTCTGTGTACTGCATGCTCCTAACATTGTCCATCCATCTTAAAATAGAAAGACCTTGCCAAGCATTTTTGGCCTGCTCTCTTGCTCTCCCACTTTCTCTCTCTATTTTCCCCTTCCCTTCTTTATCTTTCACCTCCGCCTCCTCATCTCCCCGCCGACTCCTCCGCAGCCTGGCTCAAACTCCTTTCTTTAATTTCACCTCTTTCTTTTTTTTCCCTTCATCCCGAAATGCAGTCTTGTTCTGCTTTCCCTGTTTTGCACGCTTTGTAATGCTCTCCTCCTTATCTCTCATCACTTTATGTTGGCATAAAGATATTCAACACTTCAGCATGACAAATGGTGTTCAGCGAGTGCACTCAGCTCCAGCCAATGCTGCACTGTTATGCAAACTAACACGAGAGCTGTGAGAGAGGAGTGAGAGAAAATGTTTAGCCACGGAGAGAAGACTGAGCAAGCGATCGAGTGACACAGAGACATATACAGAGGAGATGTCAAGAGAGATTCACGTATAGAAACCAAACATTGTGCCGTATGTTGTTTTTATCTACATTATTGCCTCAATTACAGGTCTATGCCACGATCTGTATGTATGCGTGTGCTTGTGTATATGAGTGGGTGTATGAGTAGGTGAGCAGGTGTGGATGGGAGTGATGTAGTGCTTGCTGCGGCTAATAGGAACTGTGCCCAAACCTCAATGGTTTTCTCACCAAATATACTTCACAAAACACGCTGTGTTAACACTCTCTGTATGCAGGTTTATATTCAAACTAAACAGTTGTTATTCTTTTTATGTGGGCCTGTGCCCAGCAAACAGAGACTGCATCTGCAGAACTGAGAAATGGACATGGACGTCCATGCAACCTGTATAGGACATTTCCATGCAACAGCCCGGCAGGTTGTTGCATGTAAACGATGCTCAGTTGGTACTATTCCTTAGCCCCTCATCTGTTGTTCCGACAAGGTTTGGGGAAAACAAAAATATATATTTTATTTATTAATTTTTTTCCCCCCTGTTATTTGGTAGGAGGGGATAAAATGGCTCTTTTGATGTTGAAGGTCGTTGAACTTGTACCATTACACAACTACTGGCAGCATAACCCATTAATACAAGGCGCGATGGGATACTTTAAATTTTGTTTATGGCAAATTCTGACTCTACCCTCTGAATGTTGCAGCAGAAGTGGAGGTTCATCAGACTAGGCATGGTTTTCCGATTTTCTATTCACCAAATTTAGTGAACACATTCAAATTGTAGCTTCAGTTTGTTCTTCTTAGTGGACAGGGGTGGCACCTGGCATGGTCTTCTGCTGCTGTAGTCCAACACCTTCAAGGTTCAGAGATGGTCTTCTGCATATGTTGGTTGGAACGAATGGTTATTTGAGTTACTCTTGCCTTCTTCAGCTTCAAGCAGTCTGGCCATTCTCCCCTGACCTCTGACATCAACAAGGCATTTGCACCCAGAGAACTGCTCTCTGCAACATCCTAGGGATGGTTTTTATGGGGAAATCTCATTAGACCAGCAGTTTTTCAAATACTCCAACACCTACAGTCAAGCCACATTTATTTAAATCACCTTTCTTCCGCATCCTGATCCTCATTTTGAACATATCTTCCCAATGTCTGCATGCCTAAATGCATTGTGTTGCTGTCAAACAACTTTTAATATCTAATATATTAATATGATGATAAGAGAAAATAGCAATGCACAGTTTTGTGATTTATACCAACCCGCTCCTCCTCCTCCTTTGTCAATGAATTGGTACAAATTATTAGGCACTTAATATTAAGTGTTACCTATTAGGGAATAATCTCTAACAGGCATTTTTTCCAGTTTCAAAGTCTAAAAAAAGGCTTCTGTTTTTTTTTCTTTCTTTCTTTCTTTCTTTCTCAGAGCACATGGCAACATCATTCAGATTGCTTCTTTTGTCTCAACAACATTCAGAAGCCCAAGACATTCAGTTTTGCAATGCAATAAAGAGATGGTTGCGTAGCATGTTTAGGAGGCGGGACCCATTTTTGAGACATTTGACTTTTTTAATGATTGACTAATCAGCTAACTGACTGTTTCAGAATTACAAATCTGACTTAACTTTGCTTAAGTATTGCTGCACTTGTGCTTACACCGGCTAACCCTAGCTCCCAGTTTTTTGTGGTCCTGCCAATATGAATGCAACACTTGTTTTTCGTTGAAACTGTTTGCATGACTAGGTATTTTTTTCAGATAATGCTATAGGGTCTATACCTTACAATACAAAGAATGACTGATGTTATGTTAAAATGAAACTGAACTGAGCCTTAAAGCAGTTTCCTTAAATGTGTTTTACCTCAGTAAAACTTACAAACTGCTGAATGACTGTATGAGAAATAGTCACTCTTTAACAACAACTCCCTCCTCTCTGTGTCTCAGTCTGTCTCCATCTTTGTGTTTATGTCAGCTTGGCCAGAGGCTAGAACGCGATTGGTCGTCTGCGCTGCTGCGCCATTTGCTCTTTGGCTCACTGAAGGCCATGTGCTATGGATGCTGACTCACAGCGAAAAGGGAGGGGAAGGGTGCATGAGTATTACAGTGTCTGTGTTTTGAGACTGAGAAAGAAAGAGAAGTGTGGGCGCTGGATGTAGATTTGTTTGTGTGAGTGTCTGTTGTAGAGACAGACAAGTACATGGCCATCTGTAAGCGGTTTAGCTACAAAAATAGGTCACTCTAGTGCACCTAGCAGCACCTTTCTCCTGTGCTTTCTGTCTCTCTCATTTCCTTTGTCTCTCCGCCTCTGCTGTCAAGGTTTTGCCATCTAATTATAGGGTTATTTTGTCTCCCTCTCCATTGTCTTTCAATCTGTCTTACTCCTTCTCTCTCACTACCCCACTCGGCTGTTGTTGCTATGACTACCATGCACTGTGCTGGAATGCACAGTGTGGCATTGATTACAAAGGTGAAGAGACGCTCAAACAGATCATTAGAAATCTACTGGGTTCCACCAGAGACATTATGAAGAATCTTAAATAGAAATCTATGAAAGCATCCAGCAACACCATAGACCGCGGTTGTCCCGCTCCCAGCCTTCAAAGAGCCAATCAGCAGCAGAACCAGAAAACATATCAGCCAATCACGCTGTTGCAATGACACAACATTCAAGGTTCACAGCAGCGTATTGGTAAACAAATCTACTTGTTGTAGTAAAGATGTAGGTATGTCTATCTCGCACATTTCCTGCCTAACTGTAGCAATAATGTGAATCAGCATGACAGCAAGAGCTCCAATGGGATAAGCCAGGGATATTACAGGATTTAAAGCAACATACAAGATAAAAACCAAGCAAGCAAAAAAGATGTGACAAAAGAGTGAACTTCAGTTACAACCAGCACGAGAGACAGGAGTTAGTAAGACCTCCATCATACAACCCTAGAGTTCAGCTGGCAACCACGTGGCAACCTCTGGTCTCTAGGGAAAAATTTGTATTCCCTGACCAGCTGACAAGAGTCTGCTGGAGATTGATGGTGAAATTGTTGTAAAGAGGGTCATTGCTTTGGTAGTTTGCACAGAAGATGCAGATTTGTCTACAGACAGTCACTGAGAGGTTTTGAAACCAGAAGCAGGAAAAAAGTTCTCCCTTACTGCTGCAACCAACACGTTTCAAAAGGCACACTTGTACTTTGAAGTGGAGACAAATAATCTCCATTTCTTCAATGCAAACTTTTGGGGACTGTGGACAAATACTAGCGACAAAAGGAATTGCAAGGAAGTTTTAGTGCAGCACTGTATCCGGACCAATTTCACTACGCTGTTGATCGTCTGAGTTGTTTTTAAGAATAGTTCCCAAGGTCTTTCCAAAATGTGCTCCAGTGTGTGTAAAGAAAGACCAAACAAGTCTGACTTTCCTGTAAAAGTTAGGAAAAGTTGTAAAAGCTGTGTATTTCCATATCTGATTCTCTAATTTGGTTTGCGATACTGAATCGAAAAGTAACAAGCCCGGTCTTGCACCAGGTAAAAAGAATACTTACCTGGTGTGTCGAATAAGTCAAAATGTGGTTTTAAAATCCTTATTTTAGAAAGAGTTGTCAAATACTTCAGGACTCGGTTGCACTGGCTTATTTGGGAGGGGTCTGTACACCCCCCATAATGACTTTTCAATTCAATTCAATTCAATTTTATTTATATAGCGCCAAATCACAACAAATGTCGCCTCAAGGCGCTTGAGTCCCCGAGTGGTAGAAATAATGCTTGGTTGAGTGACCATGAAATGCAGCGATAGCCAGTTAGCTTTCACTCCAGCCTCCAGCCATTTATAGATTCATGCTTCAGCCAGATTATAATACGAACACCGTGTTGCTGCCGTGGATCTGTTACCAAGTGGAGATGGAATCAATTATTTATTTGATTAATTTCCCTCTCATGCTCATGCTATTTTAAGATTTTCATCTCTCAAAAATCTGCTTCTCCAGGATATCAGATTAGGTAATAACATCCAGACTAATATGGAACCATGATTACGACGCTACAGTTTCCATTTATCGGATCAATGCACACAACATAGCCTTTGTACTGCAGGATAGACAGCAAACGAATTAATGGCATCACCCTGGTTCAGCAGGGAAATCAAATTTATGAACATCTGCAACAGTGGCAGGTTTGTTTACTCATTTTAGAGGCCAGGACGAGTTCAGTTTGGGCACTTTGCTCTGAACTTTAATGCGGACAGTAATATTCTTTGGACTGTAAACAGACTCAGGTAAAACGGCTGTATAGAGTCTGTTTTAATGCCAAGTGCATGCGTGCTTCCAAGATATGCACATGAAATCCTTTCACTGCTTTAACATACCTTCCACTTCTGTTTTTTTCCTCTCCCACCACCTTCTTTCCTTTCTGTCTCAGCTGAGGATAGGTATTCATACAGGTTCGGTGCTGGCAGGTGTGGTCGGTGTTAAAATGCCACGCTACTGCTTGTTTGGAAACAATGTGACGCTGGCCAGCAAGTTTGAATCAGGAAGCCATCCCAGGTGTATCAATGTTAGTCCCACAACGTATCAGTAAGTACTTGTGCTGTATGTTGCATAAAAATGCGTTTCATATATACTGTATACAGTACCTTAAGTTATGGAAGTATACGCCCTCACAGGCTTTTTATTTGGTGTTACTGTTTTAATGTGACTCATTATTCGATCATAACTTGATTTAATATTCACGTTATTTTACTTGACCTCTGTTTTACTTTTTTTAATCTTCTCTTATTTTCGTCTCTTTTCAACAGACTGTTGAAAGACGACCGCTCTTTTTCATTTGTCCCTCGTTCAAGGCTGGACCTCCCAGAGAATTTTCCCAAAGAGATCCCAGGGACATGTTACTTCCTGGAGGCGGGCACATCCCACAGTCACGCCTCACTGACCAGCTCTCGCTCCGCTCCTCCGGCCTCTATGAGGAAAGTCTCCTACAGTATTGGGACCATGTTTCTAAGAGAAACAAGTTTGTAGAGCCCATACACAGACCAGGTTACACAGTTAATTATTATGTTAGTGACTGGATTTTGAACTTGTGCAGGAAACCAATTACACAGATCTTTGGATATGCAAATGCATTATTTAAGAAAAACTTTGATTCAGACCTGTGGGATGGCCTGTATGAATGAAACTTTGAAAAGGCTTTCATCATAAGTGAAGAAGAACAACATGCCCTCGTCTCTCCTGAGCAAAGGAGATACGGTTCAAAAGACTTAAGGAACAGCTACTGCGCTAGTCTCACAAGGACCCTCCCCCAGGGAAGTGTACTGGAATCAATTAGAAGAGAAACCTTAATATAAACCTTCATGATCTAGCTGGATTCCTCAGCTCCAGACCTGGAATCTGGTTCTCTCTGACCTGCGTCTAAACACGGGAATGCTTGGAGAAAGCCTGGGGATAGACCAAACATATGACCGTAATTGCACTCAATACATAATGGAACTGCGCAAATTGAACAAATCCACTTCCCATTAACAAACTGGGTGCTGAATATAAAGTTGGGTGAATTTTTGCAAGATGGCAACATTGCCATAAACGTTTGCTGTGCATCATGGCCACTTTTACAAGGATGATAACAACACAGCAACCCCTTCCTCCCCTTGCAGCTGTCTCTGTGTAACGTCATGCTTTACCAAACATACGTCTAACAACTGCTACTTGTTATATTAGGAAGCATCAACCTAGGAGCAGTTGGTTGTGGTGGCGTGTGATTAATGAGAGGCACAAAGGAGACAATTTAGTAGTCATCTAAGGACAAATGCCAAAACCACGAATATTAGGCTGACTTTATAGGTCTGTCTGCTTCTAACCTACTGAAAACTATAACCAACCCAAGTCCAGCCATTTCATTGCATATTATATGTGTAGGTCTGCAAATTATTCCCAGCTCAGTGCCTTTTTATTGCTCAAATTTGGACAGATATAAGATGAATTGAATTATATATATATTATAGAAAATATAGGGATCGCTCAATTTATCTCATGTTTTAAGTTGTTTTATGACTTTTTAAAAAACGGTTAATGACATGAAAGGAAGAATGACATTTGCCAATGCTTTTAAGCCACTTTTGTATTTGTTGTACATTTCACTCTTGGATGGTAATGATTGGTTGGCAAGATAAATCAAGCCTTCCTCAAAGAATTCAGATATTTTAATTTGCATTCACTCGACTGTGTCCAGATCCAATACTACACATTAAATAGTACTTATAATACAGTACTGTGCCAAATTATACACTTAGTCGTAGTATGCGTATCTTACACAGTTCACACTTACACACATAACCTGTTTTAACGGCTTTATATTTTTAATATACAGTATGCAGTTCTCTACTAGCCCTGTCAGGTGCAACCACCAGGTTTCAGATTACGTAGTAGTCTGAGTATAATTTGCTCAAGCAAATCAAGCGATGTCAAGCGAATTCATCTGAGACAGTCTTCATAAGCTATCATCATGCAGCGGGAGCTGAAGGTTTGAAGTTGAATAGTCTTTGTATATTTGATAGCCCCGGCAGATTTGGGTATTATTTTATAGTTACTTTAAAGTGCTGCCAGTGTTCTTAAACAGTTGAGTAAAAAAATGTTTATATCAGTTTAAATGGTTGATTAAGGTAAAAAAAAATATACGGGGTTATAGTTTAAATTATATCGATATATATTTGATGTTAAATGAAATGTTTTTATTATGATATGAAGGGAACAGAGATAACAGCCTAAATGAAATTATTACTAATGGATGGCCCCCAACAAGCAAAAAGCATGCATAAGATCTTTGTTATTTAAATCCGAATGAGCGGTACTCATTGCTTCCATTCCATGTTTGACAACATCACATTATTGCTCATGTTGCTTTAAATCTAACTTCCTTAATAAACTGATAATAACATCTGTTCCGAAAGAAAAGAATGGTTTTGTCACTGGTTTACTCCTGCACAGATTATAGTTCATAATTTTAATAGAAATAGGATGTTGCAAATTCACTACATCTTGCCAAATGAAATTCTTGTTGCTTGAACCCAACAAGATAAAATAAAAAAGTGCCAAATGTGCATTTAGACACACCAGAACACCAGGTTTTATTCCTGCTTTCCACATCTTAATGGCTCGCGGTAGTAGCAGGGAGAAAAAACAATGGTTACACATTGAAACTCATTGATATAAGAAATCCAATAACAAATACCTTTTCTGCCCTCTAACGTAGACATTCACCAGCATAACTATGTGTTGTTCCAAACTGATGGAAATGTTGTTAAGAGGGCAAACAGCACAGATTTCCTTTTAAACTGCCAGTGTTCATTATTGCCATAAAATTCTGTCACCAGAGTCTCAGATGGGAGGAAGCATTACAAAGCAATGAAGGCTTGCACATTTTAATTTAATTTAAAAAAATTTTTACGTGTCACCATCATACCCACATTTCCTATGAACAAAAACGACTATTTCTAAAGTGTATGCTATGCAGTAGAGTGCTTACAGTTGGCTAGACAATAAACACATCAGTCAAAAACATGGCAGCGTAGCTTTTTGCCTAAAAAATATTACGAGTTGCAACACAGCGAAAAAGTTTTTTATTAACATGAAACTAGGTGCCGTTGTTTAGTGGGACAGCTTTGCCATCTTAAGCTTAGAGTTTATCACTTAAAGACATCTGTCAACTTTAAGCTTAAATCGGTGGATTATTTTGCATAGCGGGTTGCTAAACATTTTATTACACTTTGCTGAGCAAAAAAAAAAAAAAAATCTGTCCAAGACTGTCCATTCGTTTTGTGTGATGCATAGAGAACCAGAATCTGCAGTAACCATCTGAGACATCAGCAAAACATGCATCTTATGTAAGTATTCATCAGTGGCTCAGAAGATTAGCATTTCTCTTTACATAAACTGTGTCAAGCCTATCAGTCAAAAGTAACGTGTATGTCAGACATAATGGTGTTCATCAGGTCTTCCAGAGTTAAGGGAAGTCGGTCTTTAAAGCCAGGGAAAATAAAAAGGTGGTTATTGTTTTTTTAATTGACCATAAAGTTAGATTTCACAGCTTTTCTGTGAGGTACCAGAAGGGTGATTTTATATGAAACCACAATTTTCAAAGTGTCTTTAAATTCTACCTAAAATTTTGTGTTATCGCTGCAAATAATCGACAATATTTGCATTGATTTCTTTTTTTGGAAGGACTCAACTACTGCGTTGTACCCACCAGTAAGATAACCCCCCAGAAACCTTGTTAAGTGTATTTGACAGCTGTGTTACTGAGCCTGGGGGAAGGTTTTTACAGGGCAGGCTTTCGCATACAAATGTACAAGTACTTCCCAGCTGTCATCCTGGCGATAATGCATAGACAAATTAATGTATACTTGATAAATCTACTGTAGCATAAATGTAGTGCAGTGCCTAAATTTTTGCTGGTAGGCTTAAAATAGGACGTTACACCAGCATTACACCCACACAACTTTTGTCCAGTCCTTACATCTCCAAGTCTGTAGATTCTTGACATAATAATAAATGTTTGGCCTGATCTAACAAGTCTATTTAGATGCAGAGGTGTTGCAGGTACTGATTCTTTACAGTAATACACCAATGCACAAGTCGGTGACTTACTCACACACAGGCGTTCTTTAAGGTAACAATGGCAATACAACTGAGCTATAGTGTATAAATTGTCTCAAATAATGAACATGAACAAATATTGTTAAGTAAGTGTGTGAGGGTCCAGCGTCCAGTGAGACAAAGCCAAATACATCCACGACTCCTCCAGCTGTTGTCTGCGTGCCTGATTGCGTGACTTTGTGTGTGTGTGGGTCAAAAAATAGGAGATAATACAAACACCACTTATTAGGAAAATCTGTACAATTTTGATTATGTAATGTATTCCAAATGGGATAAAACAAACAAACCTGAAATTGTATTACGATTACTTTGCAGGTTCTTTTTGGTATAATTCCAAAGTGAATTGTGAGTTGTAGCAAAACAAGAATCTCTGCTTTGTTGTCCTTATTTTTTATTTCAGCTTTATACTTTCTGTCAGTATGTTTCATCCATCTAAAGGCAGGCTGGTTTTCTCGACGCACCTCTGTCCCACAAAACCTTCATGTGCTCGGTAATGTCTTCTTCTTTTTTTAAGAACTTAAAAAAATATAGACACTTTTGTTACTTTTTCATTCTGTGTTTTACTGAATTAAATGATTTTGTTTGATGACGCATTCATGAAACATTTTCTTTAACTGAAATAGCATGAAAATATCATTTTTATTGAAGACTAAAGTTGCTATGTTTTTTGCAGGACATTGTTATAAACTGTTTTGTTGCCAAGTTCAGCTTCACCCCCACTGACATACAGTACAAAGGGTCAAAGATGATGGGAAACTGGACTTTACTTGTTTTAACAGTCTAGTTTTAACAGCAGAAACAAATGAGGGTTGATGCCTGGGTCCGCCAAAAGATTTGTATTTCTATGTTCAGCTCCAACCTTTGAGAAATAGTAGCTTCCATAGGTTAATTTAGCACTAATTAATCATTTCATTTGAGACCCAGTGGTTTATAATCACATTCAAAAGTCTGCAGAGGCTCTTGTACTTTGGTGTTTTATGTTGTAAACATAGCAAAACTGAATCTGGAAATGAACCCCGTTTGACCCTGCTGTTGGAATTAGGTGCACTGTATATGGAAGGGGCATGATGACAACTGTTGGTTTCTGACTGACATTAAGGGCACATCTTATGTCTTATATGATGTAAATAAAAAACACCAAGTATCTTTAATAAGGAACAAAGCCTGCGGCTGTTACTGTGAATGCGTGCGATGACATGTCAATGAGTGTGTGAGACGGTGTTTGTGTGCAACTCTGGTAAAATTTAAAAACTAAAATCATATTAGCATAAATAATAATTGTAACAAAAAGTAGACTTTATTGTTATTTTTATTATTATACCAAATCAAACTTGACACTTTAGAGGTTGTGTGAACATCTTGTGACCAAACTTTACTTCTTCAAGAAAAGAGATGCTCAAGGATTAATATTAATACTTAATTCTGAAACAGGCAGGTTTAAGGTAAAGTGACACTTGATAGTTGAATGAGTAGCAGTAGCCAGTTTATAGGCTGTTAAGAGTAATCACTTTCAATCATTGCTATGCTGTGTGTGATACCCTGTGTCTGCATTTTCCTGTTGCTTTTCGTTCTTATTTTTCTGTGCTCCTGGTGTGCAAGTTACAGACTATATAATATGATTAAATATGCAGAGACCAGGTGACATCACTGCCAACTCTCTCAGGCTGTATAAGAGGATGGTACCACTGTGAGCCACGGGCATTGTTACCTGCTGTTTTGGAGTCTTTAGCATTTTGCTTGCCACTATCTTGGTTTTATGATGGTGGAAATGACAAGCAAGAGGTAGATCTCACTAAGACGCGCAATGTTTGTAGCCACACAAGGCATTTGTTACCTTTTTAATGAAATAAAAATAGCGCTGTATTGAAAAACAAAAATTCAACATCTTTGTGCTGCCAGAGAGGTCGCCTCCTGCTGGCTGCTGGAAGGGATGCAAGTTTAAAGCACTGTCACACTGATTTCATATTTATTTATTTATTACATAGGCCTTTAGTGTTTTGAGCTTGCACTTCAGTAGCAATCACAACATTAGGTAGTGTGACACCTTCCTACGTGTGGATGTGTTTATCTCTAAATCAGAAGATAAACAATCGAAAAGTAATGTCTTAATAAATTTGTCTTGTTATTATTGAAGCTCCCTATCATCATTCATTCTCCACCTTAAATCCCAAAACGGACGGAAATCGATGTAGCATTTTCGGTGGGAGAAATGTTTTGTCACTCACACAGCATTGTATGATGGTGTAAGATGTATCCTTAGGCCCCCTCCTCGATTCAGAGATGGGCTTTCCCTTTACTTACCTGGATGATTGAGCATGCATCAAGACATTTTTTTCTCTCCACCTTAAAATTGTGTTTGAAAACAGAAGCTGACAAGCGTTACATATTTCACCTTTAATGACGGTTCAGTTCGGCTTAAACATCTCAGTTTGTTCTGACAATGTAACAGAGAGTCTATGCGCTCAATAGCAGGGCCGTTTCATTGAACCAGATACAGGCTGTTCCTGTTGAAATGCCTCCGGTGCAGAACCAATACAATCAATAACATGATGAAAGCAATTTGAAGGATCATACATGTGCTGCAAAGGAAAATGATCTCTTTGCTGAATAATTTCAATGTCTTCAAAATAAAAGTAGTTTACTTATTTTTCTAAAAGTACCTGAAGGTTTTAATTCTCTAACTTCTGTGTGTCTTATGTTCTTCAACTCAACAAACTGTCTGCTTGCTATGATGCTCAAAGAATGCATAGTCTCTCACTAACTAGAGTTTAAGTTTATTTTTCTCCAGCCTTCATTCAATACATTAAATAATATCAATTGCATGTAACAAACCAGTCTATTTTAAAAGTTATTTTTGCTTATTTTGTGTATTTTTCTGTATTAATCCTCTCAGATATTGCAGTGCTGCTGGTAATGTGATGACAGCTTTGGTTGTAACAGTCAATGAACACGACACAGCCAGAAGCCTGCAAAGATTTTTATGAACCTTCCAATGATGTTTTTCTTTCTTTTTATCTTTTCTTCCTCATTCCTCCGTCCCTCCAGCCCTTCATCTGTCCCTTCTCCCTTTATCTTTCCCCCTTCCTTCTAACTATGCAAATACACCCCCATTACCCTAATTGGCTCTGGGAGATTTGAATATTTCACGCAGATCATCTTCACTGATCAGGTGGGTGAATGTGGTCTTCGACATAACGTCGTGCAGGTGCTAATGGAAATCACACGCAAACAATGTAGGTAAGAATGAATGAACAAAGGTCAGGTTATTTTCACACTGTGCCAGTCGTATTAGCTCAATTAAGTAGGAGTTATAGAGGTGCTGATAGTATTAGCAGTTCAACAGGGAATTATGTTGTTGTGGGGTGAGGGTATGTGCATCTGAATGAATTATGTACTTATTATTCATGGATGGATCTGTGGAGGAGATCCTCTGCTCTCTGATTCTCATTGAGGAGCATATGGTGTGCTCTGCTTGACCTCTTGGGAGAATTTCTGTGGGAAAAATGATGGCAGAAAAAATATAGCAGAATTGACTGACCTCTAAGAAAAGGTTGCACATAAACTGTACTCCTCCTTAAAAACTGTGATTTGTGTTCAAAAGCATCATGCTTAGCCTTTTTGTAATCTGAGAATGTTTTTTTTTTTGTCTTATCCATTACTAAAATATTACTTTAATGAAATCTTTAATTTTCCTATCTGTAATTGTTACAATGTTGCTGTTAAAACAATTTCATGTTTTTGTATTTTATGCAGAAATTAGATACAAAAATTAGCCCCGATTGTAAGCCTTCTCTTTCTGCCTTAAACTGTCACACAGCATGTTGTCAAGGTTCAAAGGAACTTCAAACTTAATGCATATTTACATTATATTCCCTATTAAATAACCTCAAAAAGTTATTTACTATACCTTTTAAACTGTCTCCCAGAGCAGCCTGGTGACATTGGGACACTATATAGCATAGCTAGCAGGTCAGGTTGGTCTGGAAATAAACACGGTGGCCCCAAAAGACTGCAGAATTGCCACTACGTACACTTTTTCTCACAGTTAAATTTCATAAAATAAGAATGTGTGGTGAGAATGTGCTGTACAGTGGCTCAGGCTTTAAACTATAATGGAGGTAAAAAATAATAATAATTGAACAAAAGATTTTATCTTTCCAAATTTAAACTGTAGCGTTACTGCCAAAGCCCAGAGTCACATCCTGACAAATATTAAATCATAACCCTGTAAGAGAACTGGTTCATAACCCAACCCCTTTATTTCCTACATCAATATGTAGTCTTTACTAGTAAAATTTAATCAGGCCTCTTATGATAATTTTTCTTGTTATTGAACATCTGCAGCAGTGCCTAATGGTCATCTTTACTTCTGATTTTACTCTCAGAAAACCCAAAATGCAGAGAGAGGCTGTGTTTTCTTTTCCTCCCTTCAATACTTTTTCTTCAATTTTTGATTACCCGACTGCGGTGAGAATGTAGTGCACCGATTCAAAGAGGAGGAAGACCCAAACACATAACACCAGAGACAACATTATATCCAAAATCCATATCCTTAATCCAGATAGGCAGCGGTCATGCACAAGTAAATAAGATAAACAAAGCCAAGAAGGGAGAAGCAAAAAGCAAAACCCAGAAACATTCTAAAGGTTCAAACACTACACATTAACAAGACTTTTGGGAAATGCTGGGACGCTGAGCGGCAGGTGAAAGACAGGAGGCACATGTATAGGAAGTGGGAACAAATGTGGCAGCTTAAACACAGACAAAGGAAAACTAACAGAAGACACGAGAACTAAAGATCGCAAAAATAAAATGGGAAGTAACTTGAAAAATGACAGGTATGAGGCACTCTCTCACTGGCTTCACCTATAAATCCATCTTTTGTATACAAAACAAAATACTAAAAAAAGATTTATGATTTAAAATCAGCAGCTGCTTTGTCCTGTTGGTTTAGTTAGTATTTAGTTATCTCTTGGTGAATTGCACATCACTCTCTTAGTCTCTTTCTCTCATTTTCTTCATTTTTTTCTTTGAAGGACAGTAAGAACTTTAAACAGTATTCACTTATTCCAGATTAATGCTAATTTTCTTCTCCACGGCCCTTATTTAGACCCTGCTGTTGTATTACAGCACAGTGGAATATTCAAAAGAAACCAAATGAAAGCGCCAAATGAGAACTAAAGACATGACGTCCAGTAAACAGAAACCTTGGGTGAATTTATCCCAAAGACCCAATAATACCCATATCCTGCCTTGCTCTGAAATGTTCTACCAGGGTCACCAGAGTGGAAACGGGATGAGGATAGTCGAGGATTAGTGCTGATCCATGCATATTAAAAGATCACAGAGGCAACCATGTAAGGCTCTTTGAACCTTACCTCTTTGTGTGGGTCTGCATGTTTTTCTGTGTCTATTTACATGTGTGTGTCTGTAAGAGCTTGTAACCACCTCAGAGACATCCACCTCCTGTGTTTTTGAGGATTTTTGCTGGACTGTACGCATTAGAGTTCAGATTATGCATTAATTCATTTTTTTTTACTGGCTGTGGTCAACCGTATGTGACATACTTGTTAATCTCACAGATGTATAGGACAGCAATTGTTTTTTTTTGTTAACCACAGTCTGTATATATATATAAAGAGGATTACTTGAAAACACTCCATAATTCTAAGCCTTCTAACAAATGTCCACTGCATTAATGCATCAGCCTCTTTTGGCATTTAATTCTGCATTGATTCAATACGGGAAAGCTTCCTCAGAGAGTTTGGTCCATGTTGACGTGCAAATTTGTTGGCTGCACAGTTATGATCTTTCATAGTGGATGTTAGGAACACTGGATGATGAAATCACAACACACCACTGAAATTGATACTTTTTGTCTTTAAGTACTAAACATTACCAAGGCTGGACATTGGTCACTCCTCAATTATATGCTATGACCATATTCCCAACCCATCCTCACTTACGCTCCATTGGTGGATTAGTTTATTAGATGTACACGATTGCTTGTTTTGCTTTTTTTCCTGCACAATCAAACATTTTGAGTAGATTGGTGGGTATGCTGGACACATATGATTGGTTGTTCCTATTAGGATTTTTTTCTACAAGTATATGGTATTTAAAGTGCTGTTTTCAACATATTCCTTGATGAC